CTTGCCCACGCTCATGATGGGCTGCTTCACGTCAGTGACATGGGAGTCCATAGTGATGCATCTGTCGCCTGCTATGTAGAGTGTAACCGTCTTCGATCCGTAGTGCCTGAGTGGCGCGCCGTCTGTGACCGTCAAGGTGGGGTTGCGTCTTGGTTCGAGCTCCACGTCCGGGATGCTCCTGATGCCGCGCACGTGCTCATCAGCATGACTCATCAGCGCAATTGTCCGTCAGCATCCAGAACGAACGCCACATGCCCTTCCCCATCGTGCTGTAGATCCTGTTCTCCTGCCCCTTTGGCGTCCAGCCCTTCGTAGCTGCGAAGATGAAACCGCTTTCCCACTCTGTCGCGTGCTCGCCTATCGCGGTGATCGCTCGAACTCCTGCTCCCGCCCGGCTGACTGCAGGTCCTGCTGTCGAGGGTGCTGGGCTCCCTGGCGGTGGCGTGCTACCAGGAACCCCTGACGTGCTCCAGGCTGGCTGTCGTGTTGCTGGCGCCCTCGCCATGGGACCCGCGCCCTTGCCCTTTCTGGTCGTTGCTCCTGCCTTTGTTGTCTCCACCTTTGCCTTTGCCGTCTTTGCCTTTGCCTTTGGGATACTGTCGTGCCAGCGCGTCCACTCCCACGGCTCCTGAGGTTCGGTTTGCTTCGCTACCTTCGGCCCCAGGTCCCGTTGGGCTTGGCCACTTCTGCTGGTGCCCGTCCTCGTATACCGTCGCCGATTGCAGGTACTGCATCGTGGTGGCGATCACTTCGTCGTAGCCTCTTCCGCTCTGAATATGTAGTGCCGTCCTGATGTTCTTCGGCGCCTTCTGTGGGTAGTTGCTCTTCTTGACTCCTGCATTGACCACCTCTCCCGACGCCGTCTCATAGCGCCTGATGTCGCGCTCCCAGTCTGAGTGGCGCTGCTCGAACCCTGCCAGGTCCGAAGGGAAATTCTTAACATGGAGAATCGCCGTCATGATACGTTGCGCTCTCATCGCCGTCGCAGGTTCGCAGCGTTTGAGCAGCGCTCGCCAGGCAGCGCTCCGTCCTGATCCTCTACACTCCTGATCAGCATCTGGGCGCTGCCCTTCGCTGTCATGACCAGCGCGAAGAACATCTTCTTCGTCGCCGTAACTCCTTCAGCTCCCAGACGATGCAAGGTCTCCGCCGTGCTGATGTCTGGATCTCCTCGTTGCTCAGCCGCCTCCAGGAGGTTCAGCGCTTGCGCCGTTTGTCCTCCCAGGTACGCCCTCATCACGAAACTCCACTCCGTCCACGTCTCTTCGTGGACGTCGAACGTCGGCGGCTTCAGCGCGAGGCCCTGCCACTCAGCACCAGGCTCCGTCATGGTCACGTAGACCTCGTCCTGCTTGTCTGTGGTCACGTAAACCTCGTACTTTTTTGTCTGTGGCCACGGAGACCTCGTACTGTTTGTCTGTGTTCACGGAGACCTCGTTCTGCTCGTTGGTGGTCACGTAGACCTCGTACTGCTTGTCTGTGGTCACGGAGACCTCGTACTGTTTGTCTGTGGTCACGGAGACCGCGTTCTGCTCGTTGGTGGTCACGTAGACCTCGTACTTCTGCTCAGTGGTCACGTAGACCTCGTCTTGCACTCCTGTGGCCACGTAGACCTTGTCCAGCTGCTTGGCCACGTGGACCTCGTTCAGCTGCTTGGTCACGTAGACCTTGGCCAGCTCCTGTGTCAGCTGGTCACCGTGGATCAAAGCTGGTCCTGCGGCCGCGGCCGCAGGAGCTATGGCCAGCGCCCCTACGCGCGGGGGAGGGCGCCCAGCGGGAGCTGGCCGTGGCCAGCTCCGCTACCATGATAACTTGTGCCAAAGAGGCTGCGGACGGATGGCGCAATGGTAACGCCTCAGGCTCTGGTTAAAACTCTTCTCTCCTCGGTTTCCCTCAACACTTGGGACTTCCAGGGACCCCGTGTTGAAAAAATCAAGACGTCGCATGCCTGGGTCCCAGCTCTCGCCCAGGCCGCGCAGCAGTCGGATAGCCCAGGCGAGTGGTGGCAACGGCAGCTCAAGATCTCAGGGATCTGTACTGACCCCCTCGGGCAAAGAAAAAACCATGGCGGGAGGTTCTTCGCTATTGTCGGCCTCCAGGGGCCCCAGCTGGGCCTCGGAACTTCCAAAAAACGATTCAGGATGCAAAACCTGTCCAGGGGAATGGATCGAGACCTTTGGGGGTCGACGTGATGACAAAATCATGCCGTCGGGGTTCTGGGGGTCTACTGGCCCGGGAAAAAACCATGCCTGGGTCAGTCGGGCCCTGCAGGATCCTGCAAGGTCCAGCGCCCTGGCAGACCCCCTGATTTGCAGTGACCACCGCCCCCAACCTCGGAAAATCAATCCCCGGACCCCTCCCGGGGTCCACGCGCACCAGTGCTCCGAGCTGCGCCCAGCCGTGGCGGCGCGGGGCCCCCCAGAAGCCAACGTTCACCGTTGTCTCAACGGGCCCTCCTCTGGACCACGTGCCTCCCAGACCCCCGACGTTCCGATTGTTTCGGGGCCCCCGACCCCTTCCCCGGGACCCGTGTTTCATCCCGAGTCGTTTTTTTTTTTGACGGCCCCGAGGCCCGGCGAGGGCTCCCCGGGGCCGAAAGCTGGCAAAAGCCTCCCGCCCTGATTGTTGTCCCCCTGAGATCCGGCAAAATTGCGACATGATGAAAAGCACGCCCGGAGCCCCAAACCCCATCTGCCTACCTCATTTTCGAATTATGTTGCTCCCATCGCGCTTAAGAATCACATCCCAGAAATAATTGCGAGCACCCGGAAAAATATCGAAAGAGCGTCGAAACAGTGTCGGGCGAGTGCCTCCCAGGGCCCGACACGTGAAAACCTTCGAGTTTCGGCACTTTCTTGGTGGTCGAAATTCTTTCTGGTGATCGAGGCTCAAATCGATTGGAACATCGACCTGTGAGGGCCCCGCGGGGTCCGAACAGAAGGGCGAAAACGCCCGGCCCGAAGACGTCGAGACGCCAGGACCCCAGGGCTTTGCGGCGCGACCAAGCCTGGGCTCCCACCTCCTCGCAGCAGCGACCCCCCCCCCCCCTCGGCTGCACGGCTTCCCCCGAAACTAGCGAGAAACCTCCCGCCGTTTTTGTTCAGGACCCGAGGGGTTCTGGGGGGAGGAGGAGGAGGAGGAGGAGAAGGAGGAGGAGGAGGAGGAGGAGCAGGAGGAGGAGGAGGAGAAGGAGGAGGAGGAGGAGGAGGAGGAGGAGGAGGATGGGTCGCCTAAGCCCTTCGGAGAACCCCACACCCCCCTTGGCGTGGCCAAAGACCTCTGCCCGAAGGGCGCGCTCGCGCGCCGCATGGTGAGCGTTTTTTGTTGTTCGGCGTTTCGATATTGGGCGGAAGGGGGGGGCGAGGGGGGGGATCTGGCTCCGGACCTCTGCTTAGTGCGACTGTTTGCAGCAGTGCGTCCTATGGGGGAGAGGTTCCACCTGCTCGAAACAGGCGCCAAAAACAGAGATCTACTCCAGGTGGGGGCGGGAGAGGGGGTTCCGAGGGCCCGCGCCAATCGGCAAAACAATGAATAAGAAAACGATCACATGGCTGGATCGGACCAACCCCGAGGTCCTGGCGTCTCCGTTTTTTCGAGCTGGGCGTTGTCGCCTTCTTTCGGGCCCCTGGACCCTTCCAGTTCGATCCGGCTCGACGCAGAAAGCTGGGGTCTGGGGCTCTGGGCGTGTCTTTTTGTATGATGTGGCATCTTTTTCGCTCTACGTCGGAGCTCAGGGTGATCAGTCGGCCCGCGCAGTAAGGAGGAGCATCTTTCCAGAGTCACCCTTGCATCCTTCGCCTTCGGCCCCATCCTTGGCCGCTTTCGCTGGCCGCGCCCCGCTCGCAGAATGTCGACATGCCTGTTGCAATTTTTTCGCTACGTCGGATCTCAGGGCAGCGCCGGCTGCGCAGAGAGCCCAGAGGCCGAGAGGCCCAGGCCGTGACTTCACACACACACACACACACACACGCACACACACACGCACACACACACACACGCACACACGCACACACACACACACACACACACACACACACACACACACACACACACACACACACACACGACACTCAACCCAGACCCCCTCGGGCTGTGAACAAAGATCACGACGAAGCGGATAAACGGGGGGGGCGGAGGGCAGCTGGGGCGGAGGAGCTGACCCAGCCCCCCTCGCGCTGTGAAGGAAAAGCTGAAAAATCACGAGGGGATGTGTTTTCGCTCGTTTCGGCCTCCGGGGGCCCTTGCCTGGCCTCGCGGCCGTCAGAAAACGACTCGGGACGAAAAGCCTGTCCCGGGAAGGGGTCTAGACCTCGGCGGGTCGACGTCGTGAAAAAATCACGACGTCGGGGGTCTGGGCACTGCACAAACAACAGCTAACATGCGGCCGCCCGGCTTCGGCGTGACGCTTTCGACGGGTAGATCAAATCCTGGTGGACGCGAGGTTGATACATGGCGGGTTCTGGGAGTTCCGCAGCAAAACCATCGAAACCAAGGAAACCCAGGGCACCCTGGAGGCAAGCAGGGTGTTTCTTGGCAGGGGCCTCCACTGTAAATCGAGAACCTTCGAGATCCTGCGGCTCTGGAGGATGCCTCGGGCGCCGCGGCCTTCCAAGAGCGTTTCTGGGAACGCTGTGAGAAGGTTCCCAAAACGCTCTGGAACGGATTCTCCTCGTTGCAGCACCGTCCGACATGCCCAGACCCCCGACGCCGTGCATGTTGTCGCAACGTCGAACCCCCGAGGTCTGGACCCCTTCCCCGGGACTGGCAATCCGTCCCGACGCGTTTCTTGCCAGCCCCTAGGGGTCCCCAAAGACTGAAAATAGCGAGACGCCTCCCGTCGTGTTTTTTTCTTGTTTTTTGTTTTTCCGGACTCGAGGGGGTCCAGGAGGAGGAGGAGGAGGAGGAGGAGCGAAGGAGGAGGAAAAGCCTCTCGTCGTGATGTTTGTTCACAGCGCGAGGGGGCCTGGGTCTCGTGTGCTCCCGTCGCCCGCTCGCCCCACCTCCGTCTGGGGCACCCCGCTGCCGAGGATGGTCTCGACGGCTGCGTGCGCCTGGCCGGTCTCCGCAGGGGGAGCCGCGAGCGCAGCGTGGGCACGTGTGCATATGTGCAGTCACAGTATATGCGCACATGTGTATGTGCGTATCCGAACTGAGTGCAGAAAATCCTAGATCTAATAGAGAGAGAGGGGGGGAGAGTCAAGGAGACGGGGAAAGAGAGAGAGAGGGGGATAGAGAGAGCGAAGCAAGCATTAACACACACAAGCACGAACACAAACACAAACACACATGCAAACACAAGCACAAGCAAACACAAACAACAACAAACAAGCAAACTAACAAACAGACACACACAAACAAACAAACGAACGAACAAGCGAACGACATATGCACCCGGGCCACCGCACTTCGCACCCTTCGCGCCCTCTCGCCGCCATGTGAAAGAAGGCCAGCACTGCAGCCCAGACGGCGAAGGGCGGCTATTATCGCACCACTGCGGGTGGCCCAGGAGAGAGAAAGAGAGAGGGACATATATATATATATAGATGAAAAATGTATAGAGAGAGAGAGAGAGAGAGAGAGAAAAAAAAAAGAGGGAAAGAGTGAGAGAGTGAGGGAGAGAGAGAGAGAGAGAGAGAGAGATACAGCGAGAGAGAGAGAGAGAGACAGAGAGAGACAGAGAGGGAGAGAGTCTGGAAGAAGAGTACGTGGACGGATAGACAAGCACGTGAACAGGTTGTTCAATAGGCGGGCGGGCTGGACCAGCAGACCGACAGACCTGACCAATCCAGTTCAATCAGGGCGGCAAGACTGATGCGGACTGGACGAGGACAGGCGAGTAGTAACAATGCCGCACCCGTGGCGTGGAAGGACGCAGGCCAGGGCAGAACGACTGAGCAGAGCCAGAGAGCCTTGCAGAAGCATGGGCGGGTCCAGGGGGGGTCGGGGCTTCAAGGCGTTAAGCTTTTCGAGCGTGGCGGGGCACGAAGCTTCGCCGTCCCGCTCGCGGAGGTGGTCCGAAGGCGGACAAGCCGGGCGGCAAGAGGAACGCCAGGCTCGTGGACCACGGAGCGGTGAAGGCGGAAGAAGAATAGGAAGGACGGGAGGCGATTGGCCAGGGGAGGCGGGGTGGGCGGGATGACGGAGAGCGCGGGGCGGATGAACGGGGGGACAGAGGGCAGCTGGGGCGAAGGAGCTGACCCAGACCCCCTCGCAGCGTAAAAAAAAATCCCGACGGGACATGTTTCGCTATTTTCGGCCTCCGGGGGGCCCTACCGGACCTGGGGGCCGAACAAACATGACTCGGGACGAAAAGCCGGTCCCGGGGAAGGGGTCCAGACCTCTGGGGGTCGACGTTGTGAAAAAATCATGGCGTCGGGGGTCTGGGAATGCTCATGTTGCGAGAGATGGGCCGAGAAGGCAGAAGGGAGGAGACAGGGGGAGGCGGGGAGGAACGAGGAGGAGAGGGACGAGGGCGGCAACAAAGAGGGGAAGGATGCCAAGGAACGGCCAGAAGATCCGCTAGAGCGTGCTTGAATCACCCGGGGATCTCGACAACATCCTCCATTCTGTGGTCCCTCCCCTCCCCTGTTCTCCGTCCTCCCCTGCTCCCTCAGAGGAGAAGAGGAGCACCGGGCAGGACGCGGACACGACCCGCAGGCCCCCCCGAAAACGCCACGCGACGGCGCACTGCTACTGATGAGGGAGAAATGAGTGCGGGGAAAAATGTACGGGCACGTGGACAAATTGAAGTCACCGCTTCGAAGGGCCCCCCTTGTGGGATCAGAGATCCCCGCTCGCCGAGGGCAATGCCATGATCGGAAGGCTGAAGGCTTCATGTAAATACGTAGATACGGGTTCACACCACATGTGTTGGTACCCATATACGCAGACACACATCTCTACTACATTCCCATGCGCGCTTCGCGCGTGCTCAGGTTCTAATGAGTTTCGGACCTCGCGTGCGAAATCTACGACACCTTGGATGAAAAGAGAAGGCTAGAAAGCGCACATGCGTGTGCACATGTGCGTTCGGATGCACACGTAAGTACACAGACTTCGGGAGCAAACTTGGGGGCCACAGGTCGGCGCCCACATTGGGGGCTACATGTGGGGGCTGCAATTCGGGGCCATGCTTGGGGGCACGCATCAACTTCCCCATCTCGCTCTCGAGAAATGTGATGTATGATTTACCATGGCCGTGGCGTCGTCGCCTTCACTCCGTCTAGACATCAGCAGATTCAATCGCCCGAAGGCGCCGAAATGCGGCCTAAGAGGAAGCCACCAAGGCTCAAACTGACCTTAAGAGACACCCTAGACCGCCTCGAAAACAAACCCTGCCCGGCAAGCCGTTTGGAATGGTAAGGGGACAAGAGACCAACGTCTGGGCGGGAACGACAGGTCCAGGCTGGTAATGCGGTTGGCGCTAAAACGAGAACTCTGGCAAAGCTGTAATACGGCCACCAGCTAGGCCGGCATAGGAATATGATAATATGACTCGGGTCGAAGCGGGAGTACTTTCTCATGCTCCCCCCTCGAGCTGGGGGCGCGGCCGAGGTCCAGGGGAGCCATACTTCCAAGCCGTGGACATGGGCTGCTGCCAGCGCGCACGGTCCAGGCCCCGCTCCCGCGCGGAAAGCCGCGGCCGGGGGGGGCGTCCAGGACACCGCGCCGTCGACATCGAGTGCCCCCCCAGCACCTCACCTCGACCGCCTCTCGCGACCTGGGGGGCGCCTCGGGACACCACGGCTTCAACCTCGACAGCCCCCCCTGGGCACCCCCCGCTGACCGCGCCTCGCGGCCGGGGGCTCGCGCCTCGGGACACCACGAGGCATCGCCACCGAGCAAGCGACGGGAGGACGAGAGAGCCGTCGGACCGTGAGGACACGCTCTCGGGTGCGGGCGCCCCGACGTTGGGCGTGCCACGCGCAGCGCGCCGCCCGCCGCCCGCCGCCTCGCGGCCACGCCGCGAGCGACTGGGCGTGCGTGCCGCGCCCGGCGGGCGCACCGCACCCGACGAGGTGCGTCCGCACGGCGCGGCCGCACGCCGCGGGCAAGCCTTCCCGCCCGTTGCGAGACAGAAGGCGGCGCGCAGCATGCGAGCCCGACGCGGCACGCGTGGCCGGTCGCGGCTGGCGCGCCGGACCCCGAACCGCGTGCCGCGAGGTTCTCCTGAAGGGCCATCTCCTTCTGCGACGCCGGGCAACGGCCGCAATACCTGGCCAGACCTCCGCCGCTGAGATCTTTTCACAACGTCGCTCCCCTGAGGTCGGGACCCTTTCCCCGGGACCAGTCCTTCGCGTGTTCCGAGGCCCGGGAAGGGCCCCCGGACGCAAAAATAATGAAAACCCTCCCGTCCGTATTTTCTCATTAGAAAAAACGCGAGAGGGCCTGGAAATGGCCACGAGGGAGCCGAGCGCCAGTCGCCCTGCGCCGCGACCTCCTCCAGCGACGGTCCGATCAACAGGGAGTCCCGCGCGCGACCTCCCCGCGGGCCCGGCGAGCCCGCGCCGGCCGCGTCCTCGCCGCCCGCGGGGGGCAGCGCCGCCCGTGGGGCGCGGCGCAAGGCTGCGCGGGGCGAAGCGGCCGCCGAGTGGGTGCCGCGCCCACGGGCAGCGGCGCGAGCCTGCGCCCCGCGGCATGCACTGGCCACTGTTTTGTCGTCGGCGGCGGGGCAGAACTGACGGGCAAGTTTTCCACCACCACTACCAGATGTAGGACGGGGGAAAAGGGAGGATTAGGAGGTCCTCCTCCTCCTCCTCCTCCTCCTCCTCCTCCTCCTCCCTCCTCCTCCTCCTCCTCCTCCTCCTCCTCCTCCTCCTCCTCCTCCTCCTCCTCCTCCCTCCTCCTCCTCCTCCTCCTCTCCTCCTCCTCCTCCTCCTCCTCCTCCTCCTCATCCCTCTCCTACAGATGGTAGTGGTAGTGGCAAATGGGCCCATCAAGAACTGCCGCACCAGCGGAATAGCTGAACGGGGACACCGAGGAGCGAACGACCCAGCGTGCAAGAGGAGAGACGGAGACCAGTGGGGCGACCGCGGAGGAGGAGAGAGGAGGGGGCACTCAGAGGCGGAACTCTTCCGACCTGAATGCGCTGGACACGCCTCCTCGCCGCATTCGGCGCACGCGCAAGCGCGCCACCTGGTGTTCCCGCGCGGCTTGTTCCTCCGCGTCGGGGGGCGAATGCTAATGGCGCGCTCGCCGCACACAGGTGTGGGGGGCGCTGGTCGGCGGGGAAGCCGTCCGCGCCGCCCCAAACCAAGGGCAGCCCCTCGCTTGGCACGCGCAGCCGGGTATGGTATGGTAGACCACGAGCAGCGCTTGCCAGGCCGCGCTGATGACCGCGCTGGCGGGGGCGCGTGCCATCCGCTGGAGCATCGAAAACTAAATCAAGCGCAAGGGCCAGCGCGGGATGGCACACCGTCGGTCGATGGCCGCCCTGGCCCGCTGGACTGCGCGCCCCATGAACGCGCGCGCGTCCCATTGCAGCAGCGTCGACGCGGTGCCCAGGCTGGAGCAAGCATTAGTGGACGTGCCGGGACACCTGAAACACAAGCTGAACTGCACAAGCCGTGACTCTGTGATCGGAAAATAGCGCGCCTGGGCGTCCATGGCGCAGGCGCAAACGACGACCTGCCACGGTGATGTCGGCGGCAATGCGCGCCGTGCACGCGCGAGCGGCAGCGTCCCTCGCCTGCCTGCGCCACTGAACCGTGCTGACGGCAGAAGCGCGGCGCGCTCGGCAGCTCGGCGATCGCGGCCTTCGGGTCAGCCGCTGGCGCGCCGACGGGCACAGCAGCAGCCGTGCCGATCGCCGCGACCC